CTTAGTCTTCGATGAAATTTTGACCATGTGAGATAACGAGTTTATAAATGAATTTTTGTTCCAGCATTTTGTAACTTCTAAGCTTACATATAATTAGTTAATTTCTACGACTTTGTAAGCCACGTCGGTAATCAACGGATAAAATAAATAAAAAAAAAAAAAAAAAAACAAGCGGAAGAGGGTAAAAAAATTCTAAATGTGTAAAGTTATTGCATGCAAAATTGAAACAATACAACTTACATGACTAAATTCTTAAATAGATCAACATACAGGACCAAAAGTACAAATTTTCCTTCAAATATCTTGCAAATGTTTTTATTTTAGTGTAAATTATGAAAACCCCCCTTAATTTAGTCTAAATAATGAAAAACACCCCCAACTATCCGTAATAACCAAAATCCCCTTCTGATTAACTGTAAATTGAGATTTTTAACAAAAAATGTGTACATTCTATTACTGATGTTAAATAGATGAGAAATAAAAGAAAATGTTTGAAATTGTGTAAAGTCTATTCCCTATAATAAAAAAATAACCGTGAAAAGTCGCACTGTAAGAGGTTGGTGTAAGACGGAAACAAACATAAGGGGATTTTTGGTAATTACGAATAGGTGGAGGTGTTTTTACTTTTTAGTTATTTAGCCTAAGTTCTGGGGTTTTTTCATAATTTACCCTTTATTTTACTGACGGTGGTCGGCCGGTGGTGCAGGTATACGGTGCGGTGTACGGCAACGACCCACAAGCTCTGATCCTCCTGATAGGGTGGCTGCCGGCGGCAATCTCCTTCGCCTTCCTCCGCACAATACGGATTCTCAAAGTTGTCAGAATCGTACACGAGCTCAAAGTTTTCTACAGATTCCTCTACATCTCACTCGGCTTAGCCGGCTTCCTCATGGTCATCATCATTCTCCAAAAACAGCTCAACTTCAGCCGAGCCGAGTTCGGTGTCAGCGCCGCCACCGTCGTGGTCCTCCTCCTCCTCCCCGTCGGCATCGCCGTCAAAGAAGAACTCGATCTCTCCAAAAACAAAAAACACGATCTAGAAACCAACAACAACAACAATTATCTCGAGAAGCCACCGCCCCCGCCGCCTGTTGCGGCGGCGGCAGCGGCGGCGCCGCCGCCGCCGGAGAATGAAATAATCTCGTGCTGGAGCGGGAGGAGCATATTCCGGCCGCCGGACAGAGGAGAAGACTACACAATCCTGCAAGCACTCTTCAGTTTAGACATGTTGATATTGTTCTTCGCCACCATCTGCGGCGTCGGAGGTACGCTAACCGCCATCGACAACCTCGGCCAGATCGGCGCTTCGTTAGGGTACCCGAAAAAGAGCATCAGCACGTTCGTCTCGCTCGTCAGCATATGGAATTACCTCGGCCGTGTCGTCGCCGGTTTTCTCTCCGAGCACTTCCTCAAAAAGTACAAATTCCCCCGGCCGCTGATGCTAACCCTAACCCTAGCCATCTCGTGCATCGGCCATCTCTTGATCGCGTTCGGCGTAACAAACGGGCTTTACTTCGCTTCGGTCGTGATCGGGTTCTGTTTCGGGGCGCAGTGGCCGTTGCTATTCGCGATCATATCCGAGCTCTTCGGGCTCAAGTACTATTCGACGTTGTACAATTTCGGGTCGGTCGCGAGCCCGGTCGGGCTGTACGTGCTGAACGTGCGCGTCGCGGGCAACTTGTACGATAGGGAGGCGGAGAAGCAGCTCCGGGCTGCGGGCCGGGTCAGGATTCGGGGCGAGGAGCTCGATTGTGACGGGGTGGAGTGTTTTAGGTTGGCGTTTTTTATAATCACGGCCGTGACCGTTTTCGGTACGTTCGTTTCGTTGCTATTGGTTATGCGGACGAGGAAGTTTTACAAGAGTGATATATATAAGAAGTTCCGGCTCGAGGCGGAGATGGCTGAGGCGGAGATGGCGGTGGCTTCGGCCGCCGGAAACGGGCATGCGGTTGTTCGGGATTCGAAGTAATTGATTGAATTCGAATTTGTGTTGTGATGATATATATATATATATATATATATATATATATATATATATATATATATATATATATGTGTGTGTGTGTGTATGTGTGTAATTTCAAATATGTATGTATATCTGTGTAATTTTTTAGAAGAAATTATATACAGATGATAGGGTTAAGAATTGAGGTAGATTTTCAAGAAAATGTAAAAGGAATGGATTGTCCAAAATTAAATTTAAATGTCACTTTCTTTCAACCTGCAGCCAGCTGTGAGTTAAGTGAGTGATTATTAAACTATGTTTCTCTCTCTTGTTTGGGGGATTAATTGTTTCTTGGAATTTGTCTGTTGGAAACAAACTACTAGGCCATGGCCAATTGGCCTAATTAAGAACACCACAATATGGTCTACTTGAGATTTAAAAAAAAAAAAAAGGTTTAAATAAGTTGATTTTTCATGATTAATTAATCGTTTAATTTTGTCCCAATATAGAAATCCTTCTTTTACTTTAGGGTAATTGGCATTTTGTACCCCTTTAAATTATACTCCCTCCGTTCCGTTTTAATTGTCGTTTTTTAGCTTTGCACAGAGATTAAGAATTTTATTAAATGTGTCTTGATTTTAGGAAAATGTATGCTTATAGACTAAAATGACCTTGTTTTATAATTAATAAGAGAGAGAAATTAGTTGAAAAAAAAGTATTGAAAAGAGTTAATAAGGGTATAAATTGGAAATTAAGTAATTAATGAAGTGTTGGAAATTTAAAGTGACAGATAATATGGAACAAAAAAAATTCTCCAAAGCGACAGATATTATGGAACGGAGGGAGTATGTTTTTGGCACTTTGCACTCTTAAATTGAAAATACAACACTTTGCGTCCTTCAATTACAATTTTCTTGGCATTTTGCTCCCTGCTACACATCTTTAGCTGGAAAATGACATACAAACGGTTTTTTAACTGTTAAAGAGGAGCTTCTTTATCTTTCTCATTTCTCAAAAACAGATGAAAAACTTCCGATTTCTCTTGACTGCTAAGAATTTTCATGTTGCTAAGGTTTAATTTACCACTATTTGTTTATGTGCTGTCTTAGTTTCTATTAACATAATATTCTTTTTTAGAGAAAGAGGTGTTGTATCACTAAAACAAAAAATATATTTTTTCTATTTTTTTTCCGGCCAACATAGTAATATTACTGTATAACAAATATAAGTCCACATGTGGATTTTTGAACAACTCGACTCAATTATATATTCTAGGGCTGTGCGTTGGTTGGTTTGGTTAAAAACCAGGCATAAAACCAACCCAACCCATCCAACCAACTTTGGCAAATATTGGAAACCGTTATCGACCCAACTTACATGGGTTGGGTGATGGTTGAAAACCAATTTAATGGGTTGGTTGGTGGTTTGGTTGATGGGTCATCCATCTAAATATTTTTTAATTTTTTTTTAATATTTTATTACTTGTTACAACGCTATATCTTTTATAAATTAAATGCGACTAGTTTAATAATATTCAAATAAAAGATTCAAAACATTATGGGCATATATATTGCAATTAAACATAAATAGTTCAACAAATAATAATCGTCCAAATATTTAGACTGTATATCTTAAAATTAAAATAGTTCAAATTAGATAATTAGGTTTAGATTTATTGCTTTTAGGATTTTGGTCAATATTAAACAATTTAATAAATGGGATTAAAAATAGAAATTTGAAATTAAAACTATTAAATATTTTAATTAAAATTAATAAATAATAAATTAATGAATAAAGTTGGTTGGCCGATATTAACCGACTAACCAACTTTTTAGCATATTAGAAACCATTATCGACCCAACTATACATGGGTTGGTTGACATTATCGACCCAACTTAAATGGGTTGGTTGATGGTTGATTAACCATCACAAATTGTGGGTCGAAAATGGGTTGGTTTATGGTTAAAACCGATCCATGCACAGCCCTAATATATTCAAAGATTAAAGTAAAGGGTAATTAACACTTTGCACCCTACAAATACAATTTGTTTGGCATTTTGCACCCATGCTACATCTTTAGAAGATGTGCTTATTGGACTACATGTTTTAGAACATGTGCTTATTGGACCATATTTTTTAGAATGTAAGCCCAAAATCTTAATACATGCTCTTCGAGCACAATATTTTTTAACTAAATTAAATTAAGTTTATTTTCTACACCACTCTCAACCTACTTATTAATTATAAAATTTTAACTAAAATAATTTTAGTGTATTAATTATTTTATAGTCAAATAGTATCAACAAAACTAAAAGTACGTCAAAATATTTTTTTAAATAATAAATATTAAAAAAGAATAGGTTTTAGTCTTATATTATGTATATATTTTAACGCATCCGATAAAAACATAGTTGTTGAAATACGTCGTTGAAATATTATGTAAAATATAAAAGGTTAAATACAATTTTACTAACATGCCCTACCTCACTAATGCAAAATCCCTCGAGATTAGTCGCTCGTCGTTGAATCAGGTCAAGTTGGCATAAACCTCCGTACAGTACACTCAAAGCTAATGTCGATGGTGCACTTTTTCTTGAACAAAAAAAATATGAAGTGGGGTTAATTATCCGCGATCGGGAGGGTCGATTCATTTTCGCCAAAATGACATTAATACCCTTGGTAAAAATTATGGAATACATTGCATTATAAATAGCTTATACATTCAAGTAAAATGCATCATCACAAATATTTCTTGTACTTTATTATTAGTTTTCTTTTTCTTTTAATATTTTATTTTTGTTTAATATTATGTATGGTCCATTTTACCCTCACACACACAGAAGAGTAAAAAGCTTAAATTGGTCATTTCCACTCGTCTCTCACTCTTACTCCACTTTCTCTATCATCTCTCTAGAAATGCCCAAAGGCGTGACAGTCACTTTCTGAATTGCGAAATTTGGGGGAAAATCGAGGGATCGGAATGGTTTCAGGGAAGGGTAAGGAGAAGGTGACGGACGGCGGCGGAAAGGGGAAGAGGAAATTGAACGCCGGCGACGATGACAAGACAGGGCGGAAGCGGAAAAACCGCGGCGTGCTTCAATTCTTCGACGATGCTGCGTACCAGGTGGATGAGGACGATGATTCCAGCGATGATTCCTTGTTCGATGTTGATGGTAATGGATTTTCAAAAACAACACCCAAACAAGTTTCTCTTCTCCCTGATGTATTTGATACTACATTTGCATGTTCTACTGTGTTTTTGGGGTTTTTTGCTAAATTGAAGAAAATGCTGTTTGTTTTTATGTTATGTTATTTTAGGATTTGCTTTTTGGCGTTTGTTAAAGGAAAATTGGTGTTTTATTGGAATGATTTTACAATCTAACTTTTGGGTGGGAGGTGTGAGGTGAATTAAATTTTTGTTTTTGTTTATTTATATGGTAAGTTTAACAGAAATGGTGTCAGTGAAAGATTTTTAGGGAAAAGTTAGTGAGATTGTTATTAACTGTAAACATTATTGCATGTCAGTGAGGGGTATCTTCCGTTGCACCTGAAATGTGTTTGTATTTTTTATCTGTTCAGTTATTTATGAGATAATTAGAATAGGTTCGTTCTTTGTATCGTTCATGTGCGATGGTTATGTTAATGTTAGTTTATAATTTTTGTATGATAAAAAGGACTGAATGAAGAATCAATGTTACGCGACTAAATATAGTGGCAACAGGTTTTCGGTATATTTAACATTAAAAGTTCAAAAACTGATGAAAACGATTTTGTTTTCCACACTTCATTTTGTATGGATTTGTTTTTAACCTTTCAGATGGATCTATAAAATTTTACTTATTATTAGTATCTTTTCTGTCCAAGAAACGGATACTCCGTTTTTGGATTACACTTGCTTGGACAAGGTGTTCTGTAGATATGTAGTTTGTATGTTTGGGTAGAGAAGTAAGGTTAAGTCTTGATGCTATATTTCCCATGCTTATAACAGGACCAAGTCATCATTAGGTATCTAACATGTGATTTGATAGCTCCGGTTATCCGAGTTAATTCTCAAAAATAAATAGGGATAATCATGTTTAGAATTTTCCCAGTCCTGATATTTTCTCAGCAGTATTATCTTCCTCATTAGTAGAGAGGGTAAGAAGTATCATCTTGATCTTTTAGATGCCCTTCTCGATTGGCTGCTTTTGTGCAGTCCTTTTTATTCTTCCTCTTGAAGAAAACTTGAATCTAGAAACTTGAATTCTGTGTTTCTGATTGGGCAATCTGACTAAACCTCCCGACCATGCTTGAATCATAGCAGCTAGCAATTTTCTCCTATTATGATTTTGCAGACTGGAATTCGTTTTCTTTCTCGTTAAACCTGTTATGTATGCTCTTGACTAATAAAAGGGAGTACATGATGTTAGGAGTGAACGTAAAACATTTCTTGAAAGAGGGCTGTGATTAATAGTTTCTAAAGTTGTTTTTCCTTTCTAACTTTTGGTATACAATCATGAACTCTTTGTGGCTTATAACTATTGCTAGTAATTCCAAATTTATTCCTTCACTACTCAGATTTTAGTTTTTTGTCATGCAAGTTTATTTTCTAGCCCCTCACAGTCTAGGTGTTTCTAACTGATTTCTGCTTTTGTCATATGATAATTTATTTATGCTTTTCTACTCCTGGATGTCTTTGATTTGATAGAGCACCACTTCAAAGATCTATACATGTTTTTTTGACCTGATACTATAGTTAGTGCCATATTATAAAACTATAAGTATGTTTCTTCTTTTACCTTTTACTAGGGCTATTGACCTTTCTGTATTAATAATTAAATGCATTTTCTTTTTATAACTTGAAACAGATTTTCTTGAAGATGAATTTAGGTCTGACCTGAAAGTCAATAATGAACCTGGGAAATTTCCTCATCTTCCTTTTATTCCCAAAGAGGAGGAAATGAGTGAGGAAGAGCTTGAAAAAATGTTGGAAGAGCGATACAAACCCGGTGCTGGTTTCGTTACTTATAGTGAAGATGGTTATGAGCACAAGAAATCTATTGACAAAAACATATTTGTGCCCTCAGACAAGGATCCACAGATCTGGAAAGTCAAATGCATGGTAGATGTTGTAAATTGGGGTGTTACATGAATTATAATTAATAATTACTGAATCTAGTTGCCTTTCCAATTTCTTCATTTGGTACTTCTGTTTAATGCTCATATTTTATGCCTAGGTTGGACGTGAGAGACATTCAGCTTTCTGTCTTATGCAAAAATATGTAGATGTGGAATGTTTGGGAACTAAGCTGCAGATTATATCTGCATGTGCAGTTGACCATGTAACGGGCTTTATCTTTATTGAAGCTGAGAAGCAAAATGACATCTATGAGGTGCTCTTCTTGTTCTTGCTATAATATCTTTATCTTATTATGGGACGGAGGATGCAGTTTAGTTTATCTAAATTCCGATTCCTTGTCACATGTCTGCACATATGTAGGTTTACATGCATGTATGCTTTTTTATTGTTGTGTGTACATGCATGGATTGGCCTATAATGTCCGATGCCTGAATGGATTTCTGAAAATACAGGCTTGTAAAGGTCTTTCCACCATATATTCAAGTAGAGTGACAGCTGTTCCGATCAATGAAATCTCCCGTATGCTGTCAGTCAGAAGCAAGTCTAGCGGAATCTCAGAGGGCATGTGGGCCCGTGTTAAGAGTGGAAAGTACAAAGGCGATCTTGCGCAGGTACAATATTGTTCATATGCTGCTCTTGGTTCGTTATATCATATGGCCTATCTCTTAGACATTTCAATTTTTATATGCAACTAAATCTTATATACTAACTTTGTGATATGTAACCAATGCTACTTCTAGGTTGCATTCGTGAATCACGTCCGGAAGAAGGCGACTGTCAAATTAATTCCGAGGATAGATTTAAAAGCAATGGCCGAGAAATTTGTAAGAATCTCTTCCACACACACACACACACACACACACACACACACACACACACACACATACGGAGGGAGGGAGGGTAATGTAATTGACTTTTTGATTGTAATAGAATGTATATGTTTTCATGTGTTATATATGTTTGCCTAGGGTGGAGGAGTTACTGGTAGGAGGACTGCCATCCCAGCACAGAGACTGATCAGCTCTAGCGAGCTCGAGTAACTTTCAATGCACCCATTTCTTATGTTTTTCTTGTTTATTTCACTTGCTTTATGATACATATGATACATATCCAGGGAGTTCCGTCCTCTTATCCAATCTCGCCGAGACCGTGATACTAACCTAATGTTTGAGATTCTCGATGGAATGATGCTAAAGGATGGCTATTTGTACAAAAAAGTATCCATCGACTCATTGAGTTTCTGGGGTACATTGCCTACTGAAGATGAGCTCTTGAAGTTCGAGCCTTCAAATAAAGATGAATCTATTGATGTACAGTGGCTTTCCCAACTTTATGGTGAAAAAAAGAAAAAAGAAGTTGAAGGTGTGAAGAAGGACAAAGGTGATGGGAAATCAAAAGGCTCCACAAGCGCTTCCATGGGAAGTAATTTTGAAGTGCATGATCTAGTATTTTTTGGGTAGGTCTCTAATTATTAACCTATCGTGTGATTGATTTAAAAGTTGATCATTGACATGTTTTATGCTCAAACTTTTTGTGGCAGTCGAAAGGATTTTGGTGTTGTCATTGGTGCTGAGAAGGACAATACTATCAAGGTGTTAAAATTATAAAGTTCGTTAGCCTATTTTTATGGAGGCTTCTATCTATTTCTGTGTCTACGTTGTCTGCTTTTGCTGTTTGTGTCATTATCTCTCTCTCTTTTTTTTTGTTGTAGGTCATAAAAGAAGGTTCAGAAGGACCATCTGTGGTTACTGTTAAACAAAGTGAACTGAAAACTGCATCGTTTGATAAGAAATTGTTCTCTGTGTTGGATCAGCACTCAAACACATTATCAGTTAATGACAGTGTCCTGGTTTTGGATGGTCCTCTGAAGGTTGTATTTCCTATTTAGAAGCTTCAGTTTTTTATGTTTATTGGAAATCTTCACTGAGATTTGTTTAATAAATAAAATTCTACAGGATAAACAAGGAGTTGTCAAAAAAATCTACAAAGGGATACTGTTTTTGTGTGATGAAACTGAACAGGAGAATAATGGTTATACATGCGTCAAAGCACAACTGTGCGAGAAAGTCAATCTTTCTAGTAATGCTTCAAAAGGAAAGGTTAGCATAGTAGTCCGGCAAGCAGAATTTCAACCCACTAACGTTATTGGTAAGCTCTTATTTGCATTTGCATTTCTTAATTTGGTTTCAGGGCAGTGAAGCAGGGCCTTCAGGTTTTGCTGATTTTCCGTCATCTCCAAAATCTCCTCTCTCTCCTTCCAGGCCGTTGCAAGAGAGAGATGATAAAAGCAACTGTATGTTTAAAAATTGACCCTGCTTCTCACTATAGGCCTACCTTGAAGTTGTAACTTACAGTATTCTTTTTTTTTTTGGGCCTCTTACGCTCTTATCGTTGCAGTTAAACGTGATGACAATGGAACGTTCTCTGTCGGGCAGTTGTTAAGAATCCGCGTGGGCCCTCTAAAAGGTTACCTTTGTCGAGTGTTGTCTGTGCGTCGAACTGATGTTACAGTGAAGCTGGACTCTCAACAAAAAATTCTTACTGGTATGATGCAAAAACCTATTATCCGTTTTGGTGACTTTACATACCTCTTTAACTCTTTAATTTAGAAGTATCTCTTATACCTTTGTAGTGAAATGCGAGAATTTGTCTGAAGTTCGTGGAAGGAACTCTGCCATCTCTCAGGGGTACTTATATACCACTAATAACTTGAGATAGTTTCAATTTATTATCTTCATTTGGTTATAGTTTTTGATACTTCCTGAATCACCCTAATTTAGATTTTTGATGCTTTACAGGGAGGAACCAGTTTCTACAAAGCCATTTGATTTTCTTGGAGTTGACGATGGTGCAAGAGGTAATAATTGATTTATGGTTTGGTACCACTTTTCAATTGCCTACCCTTTTTCTTTCTTGTGGCATTTCTTCATTAGTTTTGTCATCTTCTAACTTTATGCATATTGGAATAAAATGCCTATATATTTTGAAGATTGGATGGATGGGGCAGCATTGTCGACAGAGGTATCAGCATGGAATGCCGGAGGATCTACGGAAAGGTTAAACATATAGCTATCGCCTGTTTTAATTATATTTCTATGTTATACTTATATCTATGTTTCTTATTTTTTTGTGGCGTGCATACCTAATTTCTCAAACTTTTGTTTCAGATATTGTGTATGAGTTTTATGATTGAGTTTAGACTCCAGGACCATATTTTAAGCTGAATTGTTTGCAGTGAATGAAGTCACTTCATGGTGATATCATGCTTAGCGCGAACATAAACTTTGAGATTATTCTGATCATGGGCTGCTATCATTCACAAATATCTGTCATTCTAGAGTAACTTTTGTTTTTGAACAGCAGAATATATATGTTCTCACATCTTAACATACAAGAAACGAGGCAAATTACATCCTACAAGAAAATCTTATCAAGACGATGCTAATAAGTTCTCTTAAGTTTTGGATAGAATTCTAATTGGTGTTTACCAATGAATTGGGAAGATGAAGCACCTAGAAGCTGTTATGGTCACTGTAGAACATAACCACCTCATAAAATTATGTGTGTTTTGTCAATATCTGTGTGACCTACAATGTCCATGCTTGTATTGCACCACATCCTGCAATTAACTCGATCATGACAAATTTCCTTGCAGGACTTCTTGGTCTACTCTTCCTACATCGAACTCTGCCGATGATGATGCTAAGAAAGGTACTTACGGAATGTGTATGGTCAACTTATGATAGCATCTGAGTCTAAAATGCTGACATGAACTTGTTTTTAGTAGAAGATACCTCATCATTTCTACAGGAACAATTAAATTGAAGATACACAAAAGTTAATAAATTCATCTTTTCCGTTGTCAATGTGCACTCAACATCTGGATTCCAAGTCAATAAAATTGAATTAAAAAAAGGTCATTGAACCAAAAATTGAAATGTTTTATAGAACTGAAAAGAAACATTATGTCTGTAGCTGGCCAAGATAGTGGCTAGTTTACAACTGAGGACACTCACTAGTATACAATTGCATTCAGGTGCTGTTATCTGGTGAACATGCTTGACTTAGCCTTTTATACTCCAATTATTTCAAAAGACTGGTTTGAGCTTAATATGGCGCCCTTCACCTAGTATTAGTGAAAAAAAGCAGTTGTGCTTAATAGACTAGGCAATTTCTGCTTATCAGTGCTTTTAGCTTTCTCTCTACAACTCTTACCCCAGGTGCAGAAGACTCTTCTTGGCAAATAAAATCGACAGCGGATCAGAGTTCATCATGGGGTGCAGCTTCAGCGAACTCAAAAATAGTTTCCGAGACTGGGTCACTTGGTGGCTGGGGAAAACCTGTTGTGCCTGAACAAGACCGTTCTGGCGAAACACTCAAAGATGATTCTTGGGGCAAAGCTGCAGAAAAGTGGAGCACGGGAGGTGATACTTCTGGAAGCAAAGCAGCGTGGGGCCAATCTGGAGTTTCATCAGTTGGAGATCTTGATCAACCAAATGGAAGTCAATGGGGAAGCGCTAGTAACACGGAAAAGGATGGTGGTTCGCCATCCTTCTCTAAATGGGCTGTAGGCACTGGTTCTCTGGATAGTGAAACTGGTGCATGGGGTAATGCAGGTGGTGCCTCCTCCAAAGGAGATGCGGAAACAGGGGGTTGGGCGAAGGCTGCTGATAAGCGTGATAGTCAGACTAAAAGCTGGGGTACTGAGAAGGCCGGTGAAGATGTACCTAATCATGGCCAGGCTGACAGTTGGAATAAACCAAAGGCAGTTACTGACGGTGGGTCTTCATGGCCTAAGCAGGATGACAAACCTGCATGGGGAAAAACAGAGGGCACATCTTCGTGGAGCAAGCAAGACGAAGGATCTTCTTGGAAAAAACCAGACGGTGGAGCATCTTGGGGTAAATCAGCTGACAAGTCTTCTTGGGGTCAGCAATCTGATTCAAATGCAGAGGATACAAAGTCAAAAGGTTGGTCGGAGAACAAAGATGACATGAACCAAGAATCGAGTTGGGGAAGGTCAAAACCGTTTGATGGAGGCCGTGGTTCAGGTGGAAGAAGAGGAAGAGGAGGGCCACGAGGAGGAGGAGGGGATAATTATGGCAGGGGGAGATCTTTTGATCAAGGCCAATCAACTAGTTGGAACAAGGAATGCCAATATGGTGGGGGAAATGATGCTGGGAAAACTTCAAGTTGGGCAAGTGATCAAGCAGGTGGTTGGGGGAAAAGTACGACCAATGAAGGTAGTAAGGGAAATGATGTTTGGGATAAAGCAAATGTTTCTTCCAAAGATGAGAATAAAGATGGTGAAAGAGGGGGTGGATGGGGAAGTAGTGCAAATCCTAGCTGTGATGATAGTACGTCCAGTGGTTGGAATGTTCCCAAGGATTCCAACTTTAACAACTCAAAGGGCTGGGGCAGTTCATCCAATGCAAATGAAGTAGCGGGTGAGGCGGGTAATGCCCATGGTAGTTGGGACAAAGAAATAAAGCCGAGTGAAAATAAGAAGTCTTCTTGGAAAACTGCCGACACTTCCTCGGATGGGAACCAGTCGTCTGATTGGAGCACAAAAGGTAATTGGGGCAGTCAGAAATCTTCCGAGGAGAATAGTGGTTCGTGGAAGGATGAAAAGAATGCCGGTGGTGGTTCATCGACTGGATGGGGTCAAAGTAATTGGTCGAAAAATGGAGCAGGTGAAACTGGTGGGAATCGCGACTCTACTTGGAGCAACAAAAGCAATTGGAACTCGGGGAATGGTTTTGGCGAGGGTGATAATCAAGATAACGGTAATAGTGACCGTGGAAGAGGTGGGAACTGGAGAGGAGGCAGGGGAGGGAGAGGTGACCGTGGTGGCTTCCGCGGTAGAGGTGGATCGGACCGTGGTGGTTTTGGAGGTAGAGGTGGCGGCTTTGGCAGGGGAGGCTTTGGAGGCGGAGGATCAGACGGTGGAGGCTTTGGCGGTAGAGGTGGGTCCGACAGGGAGGGGTTTCGTGGTAGGGGTGGTTTTAGGGGTAGAGGAAGAGGTGATTGGAATAGTCGGGAAGATGATTCAGCTGTGGAAAAATCTTCCAGCTGGGGTAAAGGTTCAAATAATGACGGTGAGGGATGGAAAAGTAGCGGAGGCAGTTGGAGCCAGAGAAACAGTGACAACAATCAGCAACAGAGTTGGAATCAACCAAAAGGGGATTCTAGCAATGTGTCAAATGGTTGGGGTAAACCATCTGCTGAAAAGGAAAGTGGTGGTGGTGGTGGCTGGGGTAATAGTAAGTCGGACTGGGGTCAGGGAACTGCTTCTGTAAATGCAAACAAATCTGTGAGTCCGAATGCATCTCATGAGGTTGATACATGGGGAAAAGCAGCAGCAGCCGGAGATGGAAACTCGTCTGGGGGGTGGAAGAAAGCAGATGAAGGGCAAACTACTAAGGATGACGGACCCTCTGATGCATGGGGTAAGGCTGCAGCAAGCTCCTGGGGCAGTGGCGGTGGCGGTGGCAGTGGTGGTGGCGGAGGGTGGTGAGAACTTCTAGAGGTAATTACATATACCCATCGCTTTTTGTTTTTATAATATATATATATATATATATATATATATATATATATATATATATATTTTTTTTTTTTGAAATTTAGCTTATGATGTGATTTTTTCTTTTAATCTTGCGACCTTTTAATCATGGGGTGGTAGAGTTTCGTAATGTTCCTTCGTCCACAGTTTCTTTTCTGACATTTTTTTGGGTTGATATTCCTTTATGTCTAAGAAATCAATGTTTGAATTGCTACCTGGAAATACTAACAATAACATGCTTTATCCATTTGTGCGCGTTAGATTTTATTTTCCTTTATTACCTTCTTAATGTTTGCTCAGTAAGTGTTAGCGAGTCGGAGCAGTAAATTGAATGTATTCCATGTTTTTTGTTTGTGTTGCTAAATAGTCTAATAATCTTCAAAGTTCCAGTTTGGTTCAACGAGTTTATAGCGTAGGTAGATCAACACATTTTCCCTATACAACTTGTGAGTGATGTTTCTGTTCATGCTATGGTTGTGTTACGTCGGCAATTCCGCCGCAGATTCAGTTTTCTTATACTGTTTGATTGGAGCTCAAAACTAATATGAAATATAAATTAAGAGTTTCATTTCCATTTTTTTGCTGCAGATGTAGATGATGATGGTGGAGGGCTGAAACAATGTCGTATCGGGGGCATTATTTTGTAGTTTCCAACCAAAAAAAACTCGGTTTATTTCAGGTTTATTTAATATTTCGGACAGACTTCGAACTCTCGTACTCGTAGAGAGATTAGCTTCGTGTTAATTAAACAGGGAAAATTTTCGGCTTTTTTGAGCATTGGAAGGACCCTGTTACTAATTGTAGACACTATGTATGTTTGAATTTATGGCATGTGTGCATGGCTCTCTTTGTTGAATTATTAAAATATTATTTGCCCTTTTGTCTATTAGAGTTTATTGCCCTAATTTCATCCCCAAAATACACATTTACACATTTTATTGAATTCAAAATATCTACTTGTCAACAAATAGAGCTCAAACGAGCTTAAATCGAGTAGTTTGGTTTTAATTTGAGTCCTACATTTAAAGTTCCAAAACTCTGATTTTAATTTATAATTTTTTAATACCAAATTTATTATGCGTGAATAAAAAAATAGAATTTCCGATTTCCGGCTGTTTGAACCCTATTATTTAATTTAGGAATAAGTATTTTCACACAAATTCCAAAAATATCATTTTCTTTTCTTTTTTTGTTTGGAACGGAACTGGAATTAATTTTTAAAACTTCTAAAAAATAATACTTTCCAAAAGTGATAATTACAACCCGATCCATCTGATATCATAGTTTACTTCAAGGACTGACACGCGTATGAAACTTGAACGAGAACTGAACCACAATTTAAGTTTGTGTATGAGAATTTATATGTACAAACTCTTTTATAGAACATATAAATTAGATAACATTCACAATAAAAAAATAAAAAGAAATATTAAATTATAAATACGTGAAATTACAAAAATATTCGTTGGAAATTAAAAAAATGGAAACCAAAAAAAGAAAAAAAAATAAAAAAAAATGAATAAGAAGCCCTAAGCTTGGCTCGTTGTCACTTTCTCGTCGGCGGTGGGCAATTCAATTCAATTCAGCATATCTTAAATCCCACAATCCCCAATTCACACACATCCCCCAATTTCATTCCCATTATCCACTCCCTTTTTTTTTTCTTCTTTTGCTACTGCTTTCTCCTCAACAATCAAGGTTAATTTTGAGCGCGATTCAACACCGTCGTCCTCCCGCTTAGTTAAGTTCGCCGGAGCTCCGCTCACCTCCGGCGGATCCGGTCATTTGCATTCTTTTCTTACTTCACTCTTCGGATCCATTTCTTCCCAATCAGGACCATACGAAATAGTAAATCCATCTCGTTCGTTCATGGTTTTATTACACTGGGTATCGAATTGGGTTTCTTAAAATCAGGTAATTTCCTTTCTGGTTTCGTACGCGCACATCACTGAATCACTAGTACATGTTTTTTTTTTTTAGAAAATTTATTATTATTTAAATAAATTTGAATTGGTATTGCTAATTTAGTTTTCACATTATCACGTGTTCAGGATTTTGACAAGACTGTAGTGGAGGAAGGAAATTAATGGAAGGCCGAGAACATAGTGTAGTGGTTAAGGAGAACTGGTAAACTGACTCAAGTAGTTTCTGCTTTGTATTTTAGGATTTTTTTTTTTTTTTAATTTCTTGTTTTAGTGCAAATTAAAATGTTGAACAAAATAATGAAAAGAGGGCATCGGAAGCCCTCAAAGTCCGAATCAATCGAGCCTCCGATACCAACAACATCTGCCTCCAGTGTAACAGTCAATCATGCATCTCGATTAGCTGCTGGAACACCGCCACCCGTAACTCTAGCGACCGCCCCACAGTACCCTGCCACGGTCGAAGTTTTGCCGATGTTGAGGGATGTTCCGATGTCCGACCGGCATAATCTTTTCATCCGTAAATTGCAAATCTGTTGCATCCTCTTCAATTTCAGCGACACGATGAGATCCATTCGCGAGAGAGAAATCAAGAGGCAAACCCTCGCGGAGCTCGTCGAATTGGTCCAGTCGGGCTCGTGTAAAATGAACGAGATAATGCAGGAGGAGTTGATGAAGATGATATCGGTCAATATTTTCCGGTGCTTGCCGCCTCACGAGAGTGGTGTAGACGGGGGAGACCCGGAGGATGACGAGATGTTCATGGACCCTTCGTGGCCCCACTTGCAGCTCGTGTACGAGCTGCTTCTCAAATACGTAGTGTCGTTAGATACAGATACAAAGATCGCAAAGAGGTATCTTGATCACTCGTTTGTTCTAAAACTGCTCGATTTGTTCGACTCGGAGGATATTAGAGAACGGGAGTATTTGAAGACGATTCTTCATCGTATATACGGGAGGTTTATGGTTCACCGACCCTTTATAAGGAACGCAATAAACAACATATTTTATCGGTTTATATTCGAGACCGAGAGGTATAATGGGATCGGCGAGCTTTTGGAGATTCTTGGAAGTATAATAAATGGATTCGCATTGCCGATGAAAGAGGAGCATAAGTTGTTTCTTGTACGGGCGCTTATTCCGCTCCACAAGCCTAAGTGTATCTCGTCGTACCATCAACAGCTTTCGTACTGTATAATACAGTTTGTGGAGAAAGATTACAGGTTGGCTGACACTGTGATTAGAGGGGTGTTGAAATATTGGCCGGTTACAAACTGCGGAAAGGAAGTTCTTTTTCTTGGAGAATTGGAGGAGATTTTGGAGGTTACTCAATCTGCCGAGTTTCAGCGGTGCATGGTTCCTCTGTTTAGACAAATTAAACGAAGCCTCAACAACTCACATTTCCAGGTACGAGAAATACACGTTTTATTGGTGCTGTTTACGATATTATTATAGTTATATATTTGCGACAAAGATTTCTGCAATAGGTCTCGTTCTTGATTATAATGTAATTAATGTCCCATTTCTGCAACAAATATTCATGTCTTCTCTTTATATTTTATTTGGTTATGGTGCACATCTTTGAGTCTATATTGGAGAATTTATGGGCTGATTTTTCTCCCTCGACACCACGTTATATTCAATTCGGCCTTGTTATGAACTTACGTCATTTCATCATTTTGCCAGTATAGGAAAAGAAAAAGTTTTGGTCTAACTGTCTCTTTCGATCTTTCCAAAAATAAGGTTACAGTTTTGTAGTGAGTTTTTCTTTTAAATTCTTAGTTCTTTAGTGAGATGCTTTTGTAAAAGTAATTACACTTTTGTTAATTGATGAATCCTATTGGCCACTTTGTACTAGTGCGGTATGACATAGCCAAGAATCTTGTTATTTGACTTTGTTTTATCGGCATTGTCGCCACTTCAGAATGGCGACCTTTTTGTTTCCGAAAATAATTTAATAATGTGCAATTCCAGATAATCAGTTGTGGAAGTTCTTTGTCACTACTTTCCTTTCTTTGGCTTAAGAGTTACGAAACATTCACTATGTGAAATGAACGTTCTGGTTTTTTGATTCAGTCCTTTCTTTTTCTCCCTCTTGTTGAAGTGTTGACATGAAAGGAACGAATGAGCATTTTTCTATGGAGATGCCGTTAACATAATTCTCGTGTTAAATTAATGCTGTAATAACTGCTGCTTAGTGTGTGTGCGTCTTAGATTGGACTAAAATCCGCACGTTTTTTATTCTTTGGATATTGATGTCACATTTGGCCGTATTCAGTAGGATTTTTTTTTTTTTTTTTTTTTTTTTAACTTTTCTTTTTGGTCAGTGACCAAGATTGATTATTTTTTTTATAAAATAAAAACTTGCAACATGCACGAGTTTAAAGTGCACGGCTGAAACTGTAAAACTGCTTAGTATGTGGCTACGCTATTTCAATAGTCAATATTGTTGGACTTGGGAATATTGTTGCAAGCATATTATCAAGGGTAAATTACGGCCACCCCGGAGGTAATGTCAAATTACGAAAAAGCCCTTGGTGTTTGAATAATTACGACCACCCCTCAACTATGAATCTTCTTACACATCCACTCTTGTAGTGTCAAATTTAGTGGAATCTTATTGATTATGTCGAATATTCTCTAGTTTGTACCCGTTTTATCCCATTCGAGTTCCATATTTTGAAACAAGATATCTCTCTTGGCTTGTAAATATCAAATTGTGGTGCATCAGAAACTGCATTTTTGCACAAAACAAGTACCAACTAGAGAATATTCCACGAAATCTAGAAGATTATGTTGAATCTGACACCATAAGGGTGGGCATGTAAGAAGATTCATAGTTAACGGGGCTGGTTGTAATTACCCAAACATGAGGGGTTTCTTTTCTTCGTAATTGGACCTTACCTTAGGGGGTGTGGCCGTAATTTACCGTATTATTAATGTTGTTTGACTTGAAAATATGTGGATATTCCTGTGGTCAGTCTTATGAGAAGTTTGCACCAGAAGCTTAGCAGTAATCTGTTCTGTTTTCTGATTGAAGTGTAGAGCATGTTACTGATCGAATCAATGAAGTAATATTTGTAGACTAGATAAACAGTTATTTAAATTAGTTTGATGGTAGAACTTAGATGTTAGCTTTTTATTATGGTTATCTATGTTCATCGAATCTGTTCCAACTCTTCTCGTTTATATCCGACATTCAAGATCTGAAACTGAGCGACGTTTGTTTACTTATATAGTATGTAAAACCGTAACTCAGATTAGATCGATGATTCAATTTTATTAGCGTAACGAACTCCTTAAAAACAGACCATTTAGGGGGTTTGTGCACAAAAAATCCATTATAGGGGTTCCATTATAGGGGTACTAAATGCAATAAATTTGTTTCTATATCAATTTCTTATGTGGTCGATGGAAATCTGATTTCTAAAATTTTCAATTTCTTACGTGCACAATTTTCCTTATTTTTTTTATCTACGTGACAGGTGGCGGAACGAGCTCTTTTCTGGTGGAACAACGAGCACATAGTAGGCCTAATTGCAGAGAACCGTCACGTTATCTTGCCAATAATATTCGATGCATTAGAAAAGAACATACGAGGCCACTGGAACCAGGCAATCATAGGCTTAAGTTCCAATGTAAGAAAAATGTTCATCGAAATGGACAGTGAACTATTCGAAGAGTGTCAGAGGCAATACGAGGAAAAGGAAGCAAGAACCGGAGAAATGGAAGAGCAACGACAGTTAACTTGGAAGAAACTCGAAGAAGTTGCTGCTCAGACTACTACACCTGGGGACAATATGGTCATTGTTTAAAGATATATTTATTTGGATTTTCTTTTTTTTTTTTTTTTTTTTTTTTTTTTATTATTATAAGTGCATATAAACTGGAGGCATTTAATGTAAAGTGCATGAAGAATTTGTGCCTATCAAAGAGCCTGGAAAAAAGGACTTAATTGTACTGTTTAAATTTTGTTTCACACTATTATGCTTTTTTTTTTTTTTTAAATTATATTTTTAATTCCTAATCATGATATATGGGTGTTATTGATCAAGATTTGTTTTTGGAGTTTTGTAACTTACTCCTTTCTATTTATTCGTTTATTTCGGTTTAGGTTAGTTTGACGACGGTTTATCACTCGGTGAAATCGATCGGGCAATATTTAACTTTACGAGCTTGTATATATTCAACACATGTTTTACACACATTCATGTGTGTTCATGATTGTGTGTAATCCCTGCATTAATATGTGATTATTTAATTACCTTTTTTTTTTCTTCCCAAAATTTTTAAATACCCACCCAATAGAGGAAAAAATAAAATGATCATTGTAAACCACCATGTTTGGTGGTAATATACAAAATTAGAATAATTAGAAGGGACAAAAACACGGTGGTTGGTGGTGGTAACGACGGTGTTAGCAGGGCGGCACCGCTTCCGAATACCATCCCAAAATCGTCTTCACCGCCATTGCCGCCTGATCTGGGAGTTCCACCACCATTTGATACGCTGCCGCTGTTATCTCTGCAATTAAATTAATAAATGTTAAAATTCTAGAAATCAGCTCTATAAAAAAAAAATTTATAAATCTAAAATTTCACCTGAAACTTTAATGAGATCTCATATTTGATTTTTGAATAAATTATGGCCAATCCCTGTGGTAAGGTCAAATTACGAAAAAACCCCTCATGTTCTGTAATTAAAACCACCCTCAACTATGAAGCTTCTTACACGTCTACCCCTGCGGTGTCAAATTTAGTGGAATCTTTTAGATTATGTGGAATATTCTCCAGTTTGTACCCGTTTTATCTCATTCGAACTTCACAATTTAAAACAAGATGATATGTTTTGTTTATTTGCTTGTAAATATCAGATAAAACGAGTACAAAGTAGAGAACATTCTACAGCATCTTCTAGATTACGTTCAATTTAACACCGAAAAGGATGTCTGTTTAAGAAGATTTATAGATAAGGGGACAGTTGCAATTATCTAAACATGAAGGGTTTGGCCGTAATTTGCCTTTGAATTTTTATTAACTCCCAATACTAAAAATTTTTGAGAGCAATAAAAAAAGCACCTCCCCAAGCATGTTAAAAAGCAGTGAGTGGCAGTACTAAATACAAGACTTGGTGAGACAACTCAAAAAGGCTTTCTTCTGCCAGCTGTATTCTTGAAAATAGTATGCTGAAGTGGGGCCCACTCACATGCAAAAGATAAAAACATTATTTTCCAACACAAAAATTATTGACCTAATGGCTCTCAAGGGATGCAAAAGATCACCAATTGAAACAAAAGATTCTTAGATACTACATCCGGTGAAATACATCAGATAATTTTAAAGTGTTAGATCCGCACACAATCACACACATATACATGTGGATGTGTGTAAAGTGGATAGTTGACAATACACGTACACTTAGTGTAAGTTCACCATGTGTACGTTCGAAAAAATCCGATCATTGCATCTACAATCGATTCACACACAAACACGTAGTGTAGAAGATACTACTTCTAGAGCATTTTTTTTTATTATTGTAAAAACATTCAATGATTTAGAGTAATTATTATAGAGGCAAACGACCGAAAGGGGCAAAAATCGGAATTTTGTGCGTACCTTTGACCACCAAGAACACCGGCATTCATGGTGAGTTGGTCAATGAGGGTAGCGGACTTCGCCTCGACACTCGACGCCTTCACACTAACCCCTTCACCCGACGGCACGAAGAACGCCCCATTTACCAAAACGTCCCCCTCCGTTCTCCAATTCCAGTTCGACCACTCCCCTTCGCTCACACCCTCGCGCTTCGTCACCTGTTTTTTTCGTCAAAATAAACACAAATACAATTAATCGCACATCATCTTCAAAACAAATGTAAAACACCCCACCAAAAAAAGATTTAAGAAAAAAATATAAACCTCCTTAACACTAGGATCCGCCGGCGCAGAATAACGATTGCCCTCACTGTTGAAGGTGGGACCCGCACTCCCCCCAATCGCGTACATTCCCCACTCGAAATAATCATTGTTCACCACATGTACGTAACCCCTCCTGCACCTAGGCATCCTTTGCATCAACCCTTTCCCGAACACGTTAAATGCTATCGTCACCTACACCAATCAAATTAACCATCGAATATAAGTACAACAGTTTGCACGAGAGTATATGTTCACCCAGTGCACATATATCGTTGGCTGCTGGTTCCTTCATCACAAAAAAAAAAAAAAAAAAAAAAAAAGACACACACAGACATGTCTTATGTGTGTGCGTGATCCAAGGGTAGATAATCGGACCTGCATTCCCGAGTCGGGCAAGTAGTTATCGTCGTGCCCCAAAAGCATAACCTCGTTGTGCTGAGCAAAGTAGTTGTTGGAGATCGTAATACCCGTCGACCCCATTATGATGTCGATCAATCCGTCGGTGCAGTGCGAGAGAGCGCAATGGTCGATCCATATATTCCTCGACCCGAAGATCGAGATGCCGTCACCGTCCGATTTGCCTCTCCACCCTACGTGCGTGGGGCTCGACCTTATGTTAGTATTGCCCGACGGCATGCAATTGTACACGTGCACATTGTGTATGATCACATTGCTCACGTACTGCAGAGTAACGCACCCGTTTCCGGTGATTTGCACGTTGGCCCCGCGCCCGTCGATTGTTTTGTCGTTGTTGACTATGAGTTCGTGCTTGAGCTTGATAACCATGTTCGATTGGAAAGTGATCCAAAGGGGCTCTTCTTGGATGACCGCGTGGCGGAGGGTCCCGGGTGTGGGGCTCACGGTGTCGCGGTCGGACGAGTCGGTGACGACGTAGAAACGGCCCCCTTTGCCCCCCGTCGTGCCCTTACCAAAGCCGATGGAGCAGTCGGCAAGGCGCTGGCGGTTGGACGACCAGTTGGGGTCGCACCGCCAGCAGTCGTCGATCGGGTTTCCGGTGAGGCATTGGGATTGGGCGGCATTGATTATCGGGGCCGCGAGGGTTTCGCGCCTTAGTGAAATAGATGCATTCACTTTCCTGTGTAAGTATTTTTTTTTCAATTATCTTTTTCCGGTGGAAATAAAAAAAAGCAAAATAAATTGGCAAAAAAAAAAAGAAAAAGAAGCAACAATGTAACAAATCAGGGGAACAAGATTGAAAAACAGGGTATTTATTTATTTATTTATTTATTACAAGAGAATCTAAAATTTGAGAGAAGCATAGATCTTGAAATGCTATAAAGATTACAAACCCAGATAAACTATACATACTGTTTTTTAAATGCTTATATATATAGATATATAATTTGTGTATGTACCTTTTGAGTTCTTGAACCACAGATTCAGGGTGGGGGTGCTGATGTGGCAGGCTGAGATTGAAGAAAGTGGTTGCTCCAATGGAAAGATTGAGAAATAAGAAGGTAAACAAGAAAATGCAGGTACGAGGAACCATTCTTTTTAGAACCCAGAAAATTATGATTTTTTAATAGGGATTAATTATTGATGGGTTTGAGCAGAACTCTAGAGAGAGAGAGGGAGGGAGAGGAGAGAGAGAGAGAGGAGAGAGAGACTCTCTCACTACAAACTGATGAGTATGCAGTTTCCTAAGACACTACATAGTACAGTTCACATCTGCTAGCTAATATGCTTGTGCTCTTGGGGAGAAGCTACTGTTTTCATTAATTAAAGATAATAATAATAATAATAATAATAATAATAATAATAATAATAATAATAATAATAATAATAATAATAATAATAATAATATGGTTAAATTATGAAAACCCCTCTTGTTTGGATAATTATATCTACTCCTCAACTATGAATCTTCTTACAACTCAACCTTTATGGTGTCAGATTCAACATAATCTGATGCAGGACAAATGCACGGAAAATAATTAATTTCCACGAATTAATCCTATAGAACAAAATAAAATTCCGAGAACTCTGGAATCCACCAGAAAAACAGAGAAAAACTCTAAATATTTTATTAAAATTCGAAATTCTTCTCAAAATAAAGTTCCAAGGCAGCTATTTATACTAATAAAAGTGAAAACCCTAATTAAACTAAGAAAATACTAAAAATTACCAAAAATGGCAAAAACGAGTCAGAGTCTGATTCTAGTAGATCTCGTAATTTTGGGAACAACCCAATTTACGGAATCCTAATAAGATTTTTCTATGATTTGATATTAATTTTCTAAAACTTGCCTAAAATAGCAAAAACGAACTTTTAGGAGTCTAAACGACGTTAGATTGCTGAAATTTGACGTGATTCATGAGCTTTGCTCATGAGTTTTGTTCCTTGCGCCGTTTCACTTGAGTTAGAGTTTGTTTCGTACTCAAATACAATTTGAGTTATTAGAAAACCCTTATTTTTCTATAATTTCTTTCGATATTTCCACCAATGTCCATTAATAACTCTTCTCCGAATTAAATGGTTATTTTGCAATTCGAATCCAATTTGACGTTCCTTATCATAATCATCTAGATTTCGTGGAATGTGCTCTAGTTTGTACTCGTTTTGTGTAAATATACAGTTTCTGATGCACTACAATATGATATATGCAAGCCAAAAAACACATCTTATGATGATCTTACTTCAAATGTGGAGCTCGAGTGGAATAAAACGCGTACAAAAGTGATAATATTCCATATAATCAAGAAGATTCCACTAAATTTGAAACCACAAAGGTAGACGTGTAAGAAAATTTATATTTGAGGGGTTATTGTAATTACCCAAACATGAGAGGGGTTTTTGTAATTTTACCATACCTTACGTGTGGTTGTAATTTATCCTTATTATAATAATTATAATAATAATTAAAAAAAGAAGAAAGAAAAAAAAGAGGATCATTTAAAAGTGTTTAACTGTCATTAACGGTCAATTATTTATTTAGCCACTAATTCTTTCAATAGAAATATGTATAGATTGCAATTGAGATGGAACTTATTTTATTTTTTTATTTTATTTTTTTTTTTTTTTATTTTATGGGAATAGTAATTTTCATTTCGAACTCCGAGAATATAGGTGTTTTTGGGATCGAACTCGAATGAATATGATATTTCGATTACCGGTTTGATTTTAATTATCGAAAATAATTCCGAAATTTTAATTATATATTTCCCGAGATTCTAATCAAACAATAGCTTTCCTTTTCTTACTTGTTGTGAATTTTTCTTCTCAATCGAACCGATCGATCTATGTACTGTAACGGAACGATGAGTAATGGAGGAAAATATCGATGACGATTTTGGTTTTCGATGAAACAATTTGATATTGCTTTTTTCAGAGGAACGTTCGATGACGATGACGAAACTACCAATTAGTGAAGATTAGGAATAATCGGACGTATTATACATTTTTCATAAACTTGTTGATTTGTTATTAAATTTTAAATCAATTTTTCTTTTAATTAGAAGGGGTTTATGTAATTTTCTTTGTAATCGAGAAATTGTACCTTTTTTTACTGAATACGTATTAATCCTATGTGTCATATTCTTATTGGCTGATTACGATCCGAAAAGTCAAACTACCCGCAGCCGCTAGTCAGATTTATGTCTCCAAACATGCCGACTTTCTGACACTGTTCATGGTGCTAATACTCCCTCTTATATTATTATATTACTGAATTTTATTTATTCTGAAATTTTTATTGTTTATTTTTTAATTTTTTTGTATTCATATCTGGTGAAATTGATTTAATTTATTTTTAAAAAGAAATACTTTATCCAAATATTTAGTAATGCATTTGCCGATTACTATAATTTACTAAATATAGTAGTTGATTAATGTAAATTCAGTAGTTGATTACTGTAATCTAATAGTTGATTATAAATTGTATAAAAAATTTAATAAAAAAAAAAATTGAAGATATTTTAGTTCTATTGAATAAATTTATTAGTTTTGTTGTACATATATCAAATTTGAAGTCCAATTAAAACAAGGCTCGGAATTTGCTTCGGAAAGACGTTCGGCTAGTCCGAGCCTAACAATCTCCTTCTATTTTCCCTCCCTAGTTGAATCGCCCAGACAAAGAGAAAGCCATACATACACATGATATACATAAATACTTGTATATATTTGTATCTATAGAGAGAGAGAGAGAGAGAGAGAGAGAGAGAGAGAGATCGGCGTTAGCGGTGATGTCGGAGACGGAAGGTTTTCTGATTCTGGATTCGCGGAACGCCGCACCAACTCGAGGTAATTCTTCAAATCAGAAACATTTTTAGGGATTTGGATTGCGTTAATCGCTATTTTTTCTTACACTGTACGCTGATTTTCTGGTAGTTAATCCTCTAGGGTTTTGAATCGACTTTCTTCACACTACGTTCTATCAATAAAATTTTCTGCAATTTATCAACTGATGATTGGTTAAACAGCTCCAATTTCACTGTACACACTAGCTTTAGATACTTTTACTGAGTTGTAGTGTCGATTTTTGTAAACTCAGTTTCGTAATTGGACTTGAGATATTGATTGCTAATCTCACAATTTGTTACTAATTAGTGCAGTTTGTCGTGTATATTCGTAATTTTCTTGGGGGTTTTACTTATGTAGCAGCTCAAATTTGGTCTCTGAGGTTGAAGATTATTTTTTTTTAATTTTTTTTTTGATTTTCTTATGAAATTTCGGATATAGCAAAGAAAGAAGGTAGGCCGGCCCCACAAAATGCGGCGAGGAAGAAGCTTGCAGATATTAGCAACTTGCCGCAAAATAATAAAAGGCCGTTAATTCAAGAGAAGTTGCAATCTGTTGAGACAACTACCTACATTGAACAACTGCAGAAGGTAAAATTTTATTTGCACGGCTTATGATTACCACGGTTAGTTTACTGCTTTTGCTGTTCGGTATAAATTTTGAGCACGTTTTTTTATTCAGGAAAACATGGCTTTGGTGAAGATGTTGGCGCAAAGAAAGTATCCTCTATTGTTCGATTTGGTTTAAAATTGTTATTATATTGGAATACGTTTATACTTGTTGTGGTTCCTCAATGTTTTGTAATAGCAAAATCATCGAACAAGGTGGAGCTGAGTTAGACAGATTGAGATTGATTCTGCGTAAAATGCAGGAACAGAATCAACAGCTCGCATCGTCAAACAGCCAGATGCTCGCGGTGTGTTTAATTTTGAAGTATTGCGCATGTAGTTCTTGAATTTTATTGAAATTTTGTTATTGTAGTTTGTTGAGATTTGATTTTATTGGATTTCAGGATCTGAATTCCGGTAAAGATCGGGTAGGTGCGACAACGAATATTTTTCGTTATATTTATATGATTTAATTCCTTGTTTTGATTATTATTTTGGTGTTTGTTCTGTTTCAGTTAAAAGTGTTGCAGCACGAGCTTGGCTGCACAAGTGGTCTGCTTAAAGCTAGAAAATTCCAACTTGAGGTTATTATTGCGTCTGCTCGTAGCAAAATTCTTTCAGTATGGTATGTTTTAACGTGTGCTCGTTGGTTTCTCAGGAAAATGCAATAACTAAGCCATCCAAAAATGCTGATGCTCAGGTACGCAAAGCACTTTGCATAATTTACTTCTTTATTCCATCCTATTGTGCGTGTGTGTGTGTATTTTCTTTTATTTCTTCTTTTTTTTTTCCTTACAACCTTCGGTATGGCTGCTCTGCTCTAACCTTGGATTATGTGAAACCAATAAAGTTTCCACTGGAAGGGGAGTCTTCGAAAGAAGTTCAAGATGATGAAAAACCTCATAACACCAAAATGGCTTCGCAAGTAGACAGTGAGTTATTACTCTGGGATTACCTTGTTAGATTTGAAATATATATATATATATATATATATATATATATCATTTTCTTGGATCATGCGTAGGTTTGGGCACTTGTGAGCAACTCCAATCGAAGGAGAAGACTGAAAATAGAAGGTTCGTTTTGATTGTTCTTAAATGAGGAATAAATAAATACATCTTATTTCTTTATTGTTTTTCTCTTTATCTTTTTACATCTTCCATTATTCATCATCACAGCAGGCGTTTTACGAGGAGGCAATCTGCTGTATTTAAACCAGTACCTGCTGAGGATTCGTTTCAGGCAGATGACACTATAGTTCCCCCATGTCTTTTACATGTTGATCCTGTCCTAGAAAAAGAGTCGGCTGACGAGAGTACAATATTAAAAGACGAAGATAAGAAAGACGATTATGTCCTCGAAAACGAAGCTGAAGAGTTTGAAAAACCAAACCTCGGCAGGCCATCACGTGTAGCAGCCAAAAAAGTTCAGTCCTACAAAGAGATTCCATTAAACGTGAAAATGCGTAGACCTGGGTGAGACATTTGTGAGTCAGTACTAACTACCTTTAGATATTCTTACAGCGATTGCATCAAATTCTCGTCTCCTTAAATGTGCATTCTGTCCTTTTTTTTTCTTTTTGATGTTTTGTTCATATATATGTTCGTGATCGATATGCAAATATTCACGGTTAATGTACTGTAAATGGTCTGAAAACGGAAACCGGCTTTTGTGATAATGTAAACACATACTTGCGAAAGCTATCCTTCGATTTCAAGAACCTGAATAGTTTGTGGTTATACGAGCTTAGTTTGACTTTTATGGCTGAGCAAATAGGTTCGTGTTTGACTTTTCGGAGTACTATATTTCCGGTTTATCTCACAGTATTACTGAGAGCTGTAGAGAGACGGTGGACTAGAGGCGGCAAGTGGCTGAGCCGCTCAGGCGACGGTGGAAAACGGGCGGCAAGGGTGGTGATTGTTTTATTTAAAATCGAGCTTGCAATTATTTTATTTAAAACCCATTTTTTTCGAAATCTAACATTTCAATAAAGAAGGAAAAAATTGAAATTATGGGATCCACCTACTAAAAGTATCAAATTTCTACATGTAGTCGATCAACAAGGTGACAAAAACTTGATACTTCGTATCTTATATCCACCAATTCTGTCATATTCAAAACAGCACAAACCGTGTTGCTGCACGAAGAAAAGAAAAATAAAACTCGGAATTTGAGACGGAGTGTATATATATCTATTATTCGCTTACACGCTAGCGTATGTGGATGTGCGTATTTGAGTGTTTAAATGAATAAACGCAATATCGTACTTCAACTGGTGCAGCATAGATTAAATCGATAATCTCGTCTCCTTAAACAAAATTGTGATTCAATTCGAACATTAAAAAGCAAACTTTCATGATGAGGCATCTCCCTTATCTTCAAAGAAAATATATTTGCACGCTATATATAAATTAATGAATGCAAAATAGTTATATATACATCACTTGTACTAATGTAACAAAAAACTTAATCATTTCTTGATATTGGATTCTTTCCCTTTATCTAATTGTATGGCTTTCATCATAAGTAACAATGAAGAATTAAGGAATTAAGAAAAGATTCTTGCTATAAAAAAAGAAAAGGTTGCCATTGGCATAATTATTTTATTTAAAATATTATTTTTTCACTACATGAAGAATGATTGAAATATAATAACACTAAGTGCTTGGAATATAATAATAAAGAAAATCTTTAGATTATCCTTGTCTTTGACGTGGCATTTCCTTATAATTGTGACAATTACATATATAGCTAACTTATAATATAACACACTATTTAGTATTTACATGGTTTGTCCAGTCCGATTTACATCTTTCGTGTGATTTACGCAGAATATTGAATCTTTTCTTAGTTATGTCTGTTGCACATTTTAATTTGTCTAGTATAATTTACATCTCTCATGTGGTTTGCATAAAATTATTATATGAAATATGAATAAAAAGATCATAAAATTATGGAAGGAAAAGTTATCCATATAAATTATAATGCATATTTTACTCTTCCATAAGTCAAATTTCCACATCATTTCTTTTCACTATTTACATTGTATAATTGATGTTCCCTTGTTATTAATCATTATATGCTTTTTCATGAGATGAACTCCTAACCCTAAAACACTTACCACTAACTATAAAACCCTAAACATCATAGTATGTAAGAACTCATGTTACATTATATTGAAACAATTGATAGTTGAGCATGGGATAAAATCATTTATTTATTAATTTTGTTGGATTTGAGCAAGAGAAACTTAATTAAGGTTTTGGATGTGGCTACTTAATTAATTATGTGCTTATGAATCCTTACTTAATAATTATGTTTTAATTTTTTATGGGAATTTTTTCAATTGGTTGAAATGAATTTCTAGATGACTTTTGAAACAAAAAATCAGGTTTTTATATATGTGTTTTGGAGCATGCAGACAAAGCTATGCATGCATATATTAATTATTCTTTTTATTTTTTGTATTTTTGTAAACATTTTTCAAATATAAACATTATCCAAATCCTTTTGATTGACATGCTATAGATTTGGACATTATTTCTAAATTATTTAATTTTGTAGGGAAGTACAATGTCAATGTTTGGTTACATTCACATTTCACTTTTATTCTTTCTCCGAAAAATATTCGCGTTTCTTTCGCAAGAACGTGCTGGTACGTTTAGATCAATATTTATTAAGAAAATCTTAAAGATAGTTCTTATAATTTATTTTTCGTCTCGAATCTTGATCATGTTATTTTACAAAAATACAAGAACTGATTCGGAGTTTAAGCGAATAGAATCGAGTGTAACACATGATTGTTTAAACTTATTAGAACTTTTGTCGAGCACTGTGGATTACGTTTAAGTTTGATTTGATTAGCAACTGAGTCGAGCTCGATCGATCTTTAATCAAGTAGAACTTCATGTTATTATATGTATTAAAGTTGACCGAGCTTGATCTTGATACATATTTTATCATTCTCCAGTCGATCCTCAGTTGAGCTCGAGTTGAACTTCATATAATAAATCAGTCTCCAATTTTTTTTTAAATATCGATTTTGATATATTTATGAAATCGAAAAATATATATATTTAAATAAATGAAATTATGTATGTGGGCCCACACAAAAACGCGTGGTGGAGCAGTTACCCTTGGTCAGAAATCTCAAATCCTTGCTTTGTTCTCCAAAAGGTTTCCATAAGGGCCCTACCATTAATCTCTGAATTATTTTCTTTTATTTTTCTTCCTTTTCGTTTAATAATTAAATATATATTTTTAAATTAATTAGTAATTAATTTGGCATTTTATGAACTGAATATTATTCTTGAAAATGACTTTGTAGCTTCACCATTTATCTAAAATATCAATTAACAGCTGGTGTCGACTATCGAATGACGTATATTTCAATACGTTTAAGATATTTCAGGTTTGCTACGCCAACGAACAATAAAGTCACCATAATTTATATTATTTCATCAAAACCTGTCGGGTCAGGCGATGTAGGCCCTAAGGACGAAAAATTTCACCTTTTGGTGCAAGTAATTGGTCACAATAATAATAACAAGTAGTAGAAAATAAACATTATTTGAGTATAAAATGTATTTAGCATCTCAAATAATATTGTACCACATAACATCAAAGTGTTTATTTAGACAAGTCATATTCTTCAAAATTCAAATAATTATAATTCTTGAAATAAGATTTAATTTATTTATGATTCATATAGCTAGTCATTTTCTTTTTCTTGTGTGTGTGTGTGTGTGTGTGTGTACCATGAGAGTCAAAAAGGGCATGTAAAAACCACAAGCATGTACTCTTATAGGAAAAAAAGACCAAATAAAATGTGTGCCATCATTACATTATCTTTAGCTTCATTACATGCAACCTTATTAACCCAAACTGGTTTATAAAAGACTCAAAAATATTTTTTTTTGGGTGTGAACTTAGGATAAATACATATTCTCAATAAGCAATTGAGGACTTATTTGTAATTTATTATTATTATTTTTGGCGGGAGTGGGAAAGCTCGCGTGTTCCAAATTCGTGCACATTATTACATAACCGAAACAATAATAGATATTCAGGAGGGAAACCAAAAAATAAAATAAAAAATATAATATAGAAAAAGGTGTAATGGAATCATAAAGAAGGGGACACAAAATCCACCCCTCTCTCTTATCCTTAATTTTGCCGATTCTTTAGATGCTACATCTGTTGAAATAAATGATCGAGAAGTTCTCTAACTTTTTGATTTATGCAAAATATTCATGTACTGATCTATACACGTGTACAGTAGAATATATAACTCTGACCAGAGTAGCATAAAACAACCCTACTAATGCAAATTTTTTTCGAAAGTAAAAAACGGTCATCGTATACTAAGAATCTACTAGTATAAAGTTAAGCCCTAGCCACCATCCTTTTTGTGTCCAACCATATTTCCAATGACCACACCACAAAAGTAGTAAAAGTATGAACAACAAACATAACTACTTGAAAACCCTTATAACCAAAGTTGAAACAACCTCATTAACATTTCCCTTTTGTGCTCTTTCTCTCTCTACTCTCTCTCTCTAAAGATCAAGAAAACACTCACTTAGACCAAAAATGGAAGACCAATGCAGCCCTCTTAGCTGGGCTTACTACTATCAAGAAGAGGTATAATAATTTTGTAAATAATATTTTCTTTTTTCGATTTTGTTTTCGGGTTTCTAGGTTTTCGTGTTTTTTTCGGGACTAAAATTTATGTGCATTGTGTATTGTTTTTTTTAGGGAGTGGAGGAATTGAAGCAATCACTCTTCTACTCAACCCTAGAGCTAGAATCAGCTGTACTCGCAGCCCATGAGGAAATTTCAAGAAAAGATGATGAAATACTACAACTCAATAATTTAATAGCAAAGATCATCAAAGAGAGAGATGAATTTGAAGCCAAATGCCAAAATCTTGTGGTTGAAAAACAGTTGCTTTCCCAACAAGTACAAATCCACAACTTAGAATATTGTTGTCCTAATAATTATTCAAGTGGCTCAATTACTAGCAATAATGACAACATTGCCCTTTCTCCCTCCGATTGCGACGACACTCTCCCGCCCACGGCGCCGCGGATGATTCTTGACGTGGCGGACGGAATCACGCTCAAGAGGCCGTTGCCGGAGAATGGGAAGTTCTTGCAGGCGGTGATGGAAGCAGGGCCGCTCCTCCAGACACTTCTTCTGGCGGGGCCGCTCCCGCGGTGGCAGCATCCGCCGCCGAAGCTCAACTCCGGCGACATTCCGCCGGTCACGATTTCGTCCCCGGCGGCGGCGGCGGCAAAAATCTTGCACCACCAAGATTCTTGCCGCCTCGTTAGCCCTAGTGGTGGATTCACTAACAAGAGGGCCATGGTCAACATGGATAAAGACTTGGATTTTTCTCCAATCTCCAAATTTCAAAAAGTTTGTTCACCAATTAATTAGCTAATATATATATTAATATATAGCAAAAAAAAAAAAAAGAAAGAAAAAAGAATATCCATCTTTTTCTTTCGTAATAAACTAGGTAGTATTTTTCAAGTTAGTGTTTGAATCCTTTGAAGAGCTCAAAGAGATCATTACCATGGACTTAATGGTAATTAAGGTAAAAGTATTTTAGAAGTTTAATTTGTACATTTTAATTATGGTTTGTGTTAGAGATTTTGAGGATCTTTAACTAATCGTAGGTCTCGTAGATGCTGCATCAGGTGAAATATACGGGATATATACAGTATATATCACCGTATGTAGATTTCACTTACACACATTCACAAATATATACATGTCGGTGTGTGTAAAACGTGTACTGAATATATACACGTGTATGGTAGAACTACTCCAGATTAGGTTTATTAGGTAGAGAGTGAGAGATTTGAAGTGGCCGGGCTCAATGTATCAGCCCCTTTTAGCTTTTGGTTTGGGATGTAGACTTTGAATCATTTTTATTTTATTTTTATTAATTTTTTCCTACTTTATTTATTTTATTCTAATTTTGGCCCCATGAAATTATCAAAATGGGGATAGTGCAGAAATTCTCCAATGTGTGTGGGGATTTTGTATGAATTGCAAATCTATCTTTTTTTTTCTTTCTTTTTTTGCATATTGGAATTATACATTGGATAAATTACAATCGCCCCCTGAGGTAAGATTTATTTACAAAAAAAAAACCCTTCATTTTTTCATAATTACGTCCACCCCCTGCATTTTGTAGATTTCTTACATTAACACCCTTTTGTAGGGATGTGGATGTAAGAAACTTACAAACTGTAAGGGGTTGAATGTAGTTTCTAAACAAATAAGGGGTTTTTTCGTAAATAGACTTTATGTTAGGGAGGTAGTTGTAATTTACCCTTATATATTAGATTAAGTGTATCTTCGGAGATTTTGTTGTTTGTAGACATGCAATCATCATCTGGAAGATGGTTTTATATTTTAATAGGCATTAATTAAAGTTGTTGCTTTTTAATTATATCATTTTCTTGCTTTAGTCATGTCATTGTTATTTTCTTTTTAAAGTGATTAGTGTATTATTATTATAATAATAATAATTATTATATATATTTAATATAATCTTAACAAACAATCATAAATGCCGGTACCAATTCATTGAAAAAGCAAGATTAATTAGTTGGTTTATTTGATTAGTTTATAAAGAAATTTTGCCAATGTACTTATTTTTTTAGATTAAATTAAATTATACATTAAATACCGCTTGCATTTTTCCAATCATAATATTTCACCAAGATTTGTGGAGGATAGACCCCGTCGAAGAGAATACCTTCCGGATCCGCTTCCCAATAACAAGAATGCGAAAAGCACTCATTCCTATGTTTCGAACTGAAAACAACGAAAGCCCTGTCCTTCGAACCCCACCAGAGATGACAGAAGAATAAAGTATTCTGAATGTAACTGTTGCAAAAATCCCATTTGAAAATTTGGCCGGTGGTCAGATTATGAAACCCTAAATCGTCGTCTTTAGACGCACAGTGCAGTCTCAACTGCGGAGAATCCGAAGGGAGGCTATTAGCAACGTAAATGGTGTATTTAGGAGTTATGATACATTTTCGTTTTTCGGAGGCCATTCCTTGAAAAAAGTTAGCTAGTATAAAGAGAAGTACCAAAGTGATCTTCATTTTGGGGGTGAAATTTGATAATGTTTAATATGCACTATGTGAAATTTGATAAATAATATGAATTTGGATATCGGTTTTTATAGAGTTAATTTGAATTTTTAATGATAGATTATGGTAATATTTTGGGTAGATTGTTGGCATATATATTGTTTTTGTATATATATTGACATGATATTACACCTATATTTTGTATTCAACTATTCGAGTAATGAGTAATCCATGGCGTATATGGCGGTCTATTCTATGCTACACTCAGAAATTTTATTAAACATCTAAGATGTTGACACATGGCACTCGGAAATAGTAAACATTTGATTACAAATCAACACACTTAATTTCTTCTTAACTAATTCCAATCATAGAGTTTGACCAACGCTTGCGGAGGATAAACGCCGTCGAAAAGAATACCTTCCGGATCCGCTTCCCAATAGCAAGCTTTCTTAAAGCAATCGGCTCTATGTTTCGAAGTGTAAACGTTGAAAGCTCGATGCTTCGAACCCCAACGGAAGTTACAGAAGAATAAAGTATTCTCGATATAACTATCGCAAAAGCTCCAATTAAAACTCTGACCCGCTTGAAGGGTGCGATTTCCAAGATCATCATTTTTAGACGCACAGTGTGCAATTAACGGCAGCGAATTTCGAGGGAGGCTATTAACGATGTAAACGGTGTATTTAGTCGTTAAAATACACTTTCGTTTTTCCGAGGCCATTGCTTGAAAGAAATTAATCGATATCAAGATGAATAATAAAGTCTTCATTATCATGTTGATCGATAGAAATGATAGATTATATGAGTTTTCTACAAATGTATTATATATATATATATATATATATATATATATATATATATATATATATATATATATATATTTTTTTTTTCATTTGGATCGGAACATGCTTTTATAGAGTTAATTAATATTTTTTTTTTCAATTAACCCTAGTTATAATTATCTTGTCAACTGTAGTTAGGTCGAGTTCGCCGCATATGGTTAGCTATAAAAGTTAATCGACATTCTTAAACTAATTTTAGGGGGAAAGAGATTGGGATTAGGCTAAAATATCGGATACCTAATATTCATCAATTTAATTGAACTATATTGATTGATAGGGTACAAATAATTAGTCAATTACCAATTTACCATAATATTTTCACTAATCAGGGCATATTATGGTGTGGATTTGAATGAAATTAAATTAGACGAACCTGACCCAACGACCGGCCCGCCACAATTCGTTGACCGACGGCCCAATAAAATTTAGGTAGGTTCCAGGTCCTCTATTCCTGGACCCGAGCCCCGTCGGACCGGGACCCCCTAAAAAAATGCCTTGATTTCACTTTCCTTCCCTCAAAATACAAAAACGAGACTGTCCCCCTTCGAAATATACAATTCGGTGCACTTTGCCCTAAATGTGTATTTTCGGGTTAGTTATTGTCGGATTTGAGTAAATTGGAAGGGTAATTTCGTCTTTTAAGGCTTTAAATGCCACTTAACCTTTTTTTACCCTACATGACAATGATTACGAAGAACAAATTTTGTCGAACTTGGAAGAAATTTTTGTCTAATTTGGAAGCGAATTTCATCAATTTGGGAAGATAATTTTGTTGATTTGGGAACCGTAAGTAACTCTGAAAAGTAGGGGTGTGCACGGGTCGGTTTTTCCAATAAACCAAACACGTACCGATAATATCGGTTTTCATATTTTTAAAACCGAATATGTCGATTTTTTTTCGGTTCGGTGTTAATCGGTTTTTCGGTTTTTCGGTTAACGGTTCGGTATCAATTCGGTTTATTTTCGGTTTCGATTTCGTCTATTTGTTCGAATCTTTTAGGCATAAAACCGTTATATTTGGACTTTCATTATATTTATTTGAGAAAATTAACAAATAACAACCGAAAATTAACTAATAATAAACACGTCACAACCGAAATTAATTAATAGAAAAACATGTCATATGGAGGTGCTCGAAAGATAGAGGCCTATACGCTAGGGTATGTATCTATACTATATATAAAAAAAACATCATTTTGTATAAATCGGTTCGGTTCGGGAAATCGGTTCGGTTATTTTTTTTCTCCATACACAAACTGATGTTTTCGGTTTTTCAAAAAACTTTACCGTATATGCGGTTTTAAGTCGGGACGGTATATATCGGCTCGGTTTTTTCGGTTTTCAGTTCGGTTTTTCGGTTTCTCGGTTTTTTTGCTCACCCCTACTGAAAAGAGGACTCTCAAGCGGAAGATGTAAAATGACATATACACCTTTCATTCAGTGAGAATTGGACCGAAAATACATATTTGAGGCAAAGTGAATGGAGTTGTATATTTTGAAGGGGGACAATCTCATTTTTGTATTTTGAGGGGGGAAAGTGCAAAATATACATTTTTAAGGCGGTGAAGTGCAATTTGCCCAAAATTAAACATAGGGTTTCTTGGCAAAAATATTTGACACGGGGACTTTTTCGGTAATTCGAAATAACAGAGAGGTTTATGTGCAATTAACTCATATTTTAGGCGCTATTCTAAAATACAATTCAAACTCTATCCGAGCTCTAATTATCTCGTCAATATCACAACATAATAAGAGCAACTCCAATGGAGTTATTAAATGGGTTATCAAAACCATTAACTACCATTTTGATAACTCAAGTTAGAAATTTTTCACTCCAATGGTGTTATCAAATGAGTTTCTATTTTGATATTTTTATTTTTGGGATGTAAAAATACATTCGGAAGAAAATAATGCCAATTGGAAGTTACACAACTTAACCACCTAAATAGCCAATTAGAAAATGACATGTGTGAAGCCCGCATGGGTGTAGCTCAACTGGTTCCGGAGGTGGTAAGTTGGTGCAAGGTCCTAGGATCGAATCCTGGCAGCCGCAGTGTGGGAATTTCAACTCCAATGAGTTGGTTCCTTGTGGGCACCAGGTCCGGGTCCGCTACCTTAACGGGCCGTTGAGTTACCATGATTTACATTCCTCCATCAATCCTTGTCGGGCCAAGGGATGGGGGCCCTGGGGGCGAGGGATTTCGCCTTTTGGTGCAAGAAAATGACATGTGTTAATTAAAATACATAATTACATTATTTATTTTTAATTATCAACTATTTGATATCTATGGTTGGAGCAAATAAATTTAATTAGGTATCAAACTAAAATATAAAATATCAAATAAATATTTGATAATTCATTTTGATATTTGTGGGTTGGAGTTGGTCTAAGATAATATAATTCACGAAATAATCTAAAAAAAAATATATTATCTATTTCTTAATTAACATTTGGTCCCTTTATTAAAAAATAATGTCACAAATTTAAGAAATTAATTTTTTTTCTATTTTGCCAATCATGATATTTGGTAAATGATTTAGGATCAGTACTAACTTTTGACATATAAAGACCATCAGCCCTTATTTCCCAGAAACAATATCCAGTGTAGCATTTCTCACTCCATTCCGAATTATAAACCTCGACGGCACTTTCTTTCGAACCCCACCAAAAATGGCAGAAAAATAAAGTATTCGGAAGAATATTCTCGCAAAAACTCCAGTGAAAATCTTTCTTAAAATCGAGCGTATGAAATCCTAAATCATCGTTTCCCGATGCACAATGCAATCGCAATGGAGCCGAATTTTGAGGGAGTTTATTCATTACATGAACCTCGTATTTGCTAGAGAAAACGCACTTCCGTTTTTCTAGTGCTATTACTTGAAGATTTTGAGCCCATATCAAGAGAAATAACAAGGGGATAACGTTAGAGACTACGTATTTCATTGATTCGTATAATTATAATTATAATAATTTTTTCTTTTTTTGTGATCCATGGAGCTTGTGTTTTATAGATATGAGAAAATATTAGGATTTTACTGCATTTTTATGAAACTTGGATAGCAAAATTTATTTAATCCAAAGAGTAATAATGAAATTTAGAATGATAATATTATTGTAATATTGGCTAAAGTTTTATAGAATAAAGATAAACAATGGAATAAGACAATTAAGAATATGATAGACCTAAATTAAGTGATAAATTTTTGAAAAAAAGTGGACATAAATAAGCATTAAAACTAAAAATTCAACATTTTTATTCATTTTCGTCAATTTACCGTTAAAACTAACGGAATCAAGTCTATGACCATCAATGACTTAACTGACAGACTACCGGTAAATTGACGGAAATGACCAAAAACGTTAAATTATCAAAATATGTGGGACTAAATGTGTTTTTTGTGAACATAGGGGACCAAATATGGAATCAGTGCAAACTTGAGGGATGAAAACTGTAATTTCCTATAAAGTCCTTCCACTGTGAATCTCATTCCCAATATGGGAAAGTTAGAAAATACTAAGTACATCAATGAAAATACTAAGTACATCATTCCAATGCGATGACTCAAATTGAAATTAAATTTTTTTATTTAATTATATATTTCTAAGATCTTAATACATTTGATTTAATTCCAATTGTATGCCTTTCGAAATTGTGTTGGATCTTCACCATCTGCGAAATATATGCCATCAGTCCTCGCTTCCCAGTAACATTTACCTTCAAGACACCGGTAATAAGTCTTGGTACTAAATACGTCAAAAGAAACATCTTTATTATTCCACCAAAGATGACAGAAAAATAAAGTTGAGGGAACGAAATCAGTGCAGAATTTCCAATGGAAGTCATAATTAGGATTTACATTATGATATCCAAGATCATCGTCTCCAGATGCACAATGAAACCTCAGTTGCGGAAATGGAAGCCTATTAATCACGTGAATTTCGATTTCATCAGTGAAAGTACAGTCACTTACCGTTAGGACAACATTAGCAAACAAGACGAGAAAAGGTATGAGATTTTTCATTTTGAGGTAATGCATATAATGTTTTTCTTAATTCTTATTCTTATTCCCTATTTATAGGGCGAAAAATCTAAACATTTTACTAGGGCCTACCAAATTGGAATGAGTAATTGTGAAAGTTTTCTTAAAATTGAAATTTGATTTAGAAAATAAACTTTCTTTTTCAAGTGGATCATGTGCATATAGATTGTGCATCCCAAATTATTGTTGTTAGATTACAAATATTGGATAATATAAATTTCTTTAACTGGGAATCACATTTTTTTGATTTTTCAGTGTCTTGATTACGAAAATTATTAATCAATCCAATTTCGTCCAATTTTATTAAAAAAAATAAAAAGAAAAAAACTAAAGTTGTTACATTATATGATTTATGGGGAGTTAATTGCAAATGTCACCCCTGTGTAGTCTATAATTGCCAAATACTCCCCCGTAAAAAAACTCGCGTATGCCCCCTTGTGTTAACATTCTCGAAGCACACTGCACCTTTTTTTAATTTTAGACTTTGACTAAATATAAAAAGACTAAAACATCCTAACGTTTTTTCACCAATTAGTACATGGTAATTGATTCTAATTACACCAAATTTTATATCATAATTATTTTACTTTATATAAAATAAAATTATTTTGTAATGACAAAAAGTAAAAAAATATATAAACAAGAATTAAAATATGTTGTAATATTAAAAGTTTTTATATGTGTTGTAATGTTGCATTTTACATTTTATATTAAAATAATGATAATCACGAACAAAAAATTCAAAAGAAAGAAAGAAAAAAAAATCCGCCTCCTTCCTGCACCACCACAACCTTCTCTAATCTCCAGTGAGGTAGGGTCGCCGCTCGGAGTAGCCTATGATGATTGGCCGACGATGGAAGAGGGAGTGTGCTGCCATGGAGGTGACATCCATGGCAGACGGCGGAACTAGGCGGTGTCGAGGGAGAGGAATTTGAAGGAGGGGTGGGCGGCGATGATGCGAGACGGCGGCGGTGTCGAAGGAGTGGGTGGGTGTCGGTGGGGCCAGACGGCGGCGGTGCTGAATTTATTAGTGGCTTGGAGGTGGGCCGACGGAAATGGGGAAGAAGGTGTGAACTTTGGAAATTACAATTTGGTCCTTTAAATTTAGGTTATTTATAATTGGATCAATCTGATTTTTTCTTTCTTTATGAAGGGGTATTTATGCCATTTCCTTCAAAAAATAGCATGAGTAATCGTACAACCGGCGAGTGAGACACGATTTGCCTCCACGGGTCTTAATGCATTGACTTTGTTAACACATGGGGTAATTAGAGATTACACAAGGGTGCTATTTGCAATTAACCCGATTTATGAGCCTAAACGAACTAATTTGAATAAATTTGTGTCTGAAATTGTCCTAATCTTCCTAATACTGCGGATTATTAGCAAAATTGGTAATGTAAGAACGTTTTTCTATGCTACACTCTGTGAAGGTTATACCCAGTGAATTTTTACTGTTGATCTTAATACACCAATGTGGGTGTGTGTGTTTGTGTATTTGGGTCTTATGAATGGTAAAAATGATGGTGTTACAAAGGTAAATAAAAATTAATATCAAGAGAGTACCACTCAATCTTTATTTATTCATAGAAATAATTTGTAATTGACATATTCGGAGTTGAGATCTCAAACACATTTAACTTTTATTCCAGTCGTATTTCTTCTGGAAATCACTCGGGGTTTGACCGCCCGAGAAATAGATACCATCAGTCCGTGCTTCCCAATAGCATTTACCATGGAGACACGGGTTATCATCATGGGACTTAAACACATCAAAAGCAACATCATTATTATTCCACCAGAGATGACAAAAGAACAAAGTATTGCCCGTCCAATTCTCGCAAAATCTCCAGTTGAAATCATAATCACGATCTATATTGTGATATCCAAGGTCGTCATTTTTAGATGCACAGTGCAACCTTAGCTGCGGACTTGGAAGCCTATTAGTCACATGAACCTCGTATTCCTCGGTAATACCACAACCACTAGTCATGTTTACGAACATCATTAGGTAAATATTAGCGAAAACGACAAGAAAAGGTACGAGATTTTTCATGGTGATATAAGACATTATTTATATATATATATGTTTTATTTTCTCTAAGATTTTAATATATTTGGTTGAGCTCTTCGCAGCTCTATTTATAGGGCTGCTAGCACTAAGTTCTTAATTATCACCTACTAAATTGAAATTCAAAATTATGGATCACTTTTGAATTTGATTTAGAAAATGAGCCTATATATGTAATTTGTCACTGTATTGAACTATATATAATTATTAATTATATATACTGGGGAGCTCTATTTTTGGTAGTAAGATTATTGGTGTATCATAATATAATTCCTTGATTTGTGAATTTTATTTATATGTAACATGTATACAATGCAACAATAGAAGCATATGAGCCATTTTCGACATATCCTATAGTTTAGAGGTGCAAATTGTAATTTCCCCTATTTTAAATAGTTCGTCTAAAAATAAATGTTCAATCACTTTTGAATCGTGATACAATAACTTCTTATTTATTCATTCATTGAGATAATGATAGTTTGAGTGTCCCCTTGTTTACCTATACAGTACAACCACCCCTGAGGTAAGGTCAAATTATAAAAAAAACCCTTATGTTTGAGTAATTACAACAACCCCTCAACTATAAATCTTCATACAAGTTCACCCTTACGATGTCAAATTTAGTGGAATCTTCTAGATTATATGAAATATTCTCAAATTTTTACCCGTTTTATCACATTTGAGCTCCACATTTTGAATCAAGATAATCATAAAATGTGTTTTTTGATGTGTAAATATCAGATTGTGGTGCATCAGAAACTAAAAATAAAACATAAAGAAATATAATTTACTAGAGCAAAGCAATTGAAATATGATACTAATGACAGCAAAACACAATTGCATTTTATTTATATTTTTCTTAATTTTATTATAGTTTAAATTGTACTTAACGATTTTGCCAGTCATACACCTTTTTCATTAAATTCGATTTCGGACCGTCGCCAGAGAAATAGATACCGTCGCTCCGAGCTTCATAATAGCAATTATTACGGCACACGGTCTTTCGTGATTCAAATGCATTGAAAGAGACTTGTTTGTTACGCCACCAAAGATGACAAAAATATAGAGTAGTGCTAACAACGTTCTCACAAAATTTCCAGTGAAAATCGTAGTTCGGGCCGTAATCGGAGATCCCGAAATCGGTTTCTTTAGATGCACAATGCAATTTTAGCTTGGGTGACGGCAACTTATTGACCACGTGAACCTCATACTCATTAGTAAGAAAACAAGCCGATGCGATTGTTATGAAGATGTTAACCGATAGAATGAGACACGTGATTATATTTTTCATCGTGATACAAAAATGATATGAAAATGTGAAACAAATTCAATATATTTGTTTGAGTTTCTTGTAATCCTATATATACATATATATATAGATTAAATTATAACCTAAATATTGATTGTAATGGGAAAATATAATGTGTATTGGCAATTTGTTTTTAATGAAATGGTATTGTTTCTTTTAGTGTATAATTGTTCATGACTGAAATAGAACAATATTGTCTAAGACAAAATTTACTTTTTTATTTTTGATAAATAGAAAATAAATCTTACTTATATGAATATCAAAATTTAATTTAATGCAACGACTCTAGATTAAACTGTCACGAAAGCTATTGAAATTAAAAAAAAAATGATGCTGGAACAAAGTAAATGAAAATTGATATCAAAAGAGTGATCTTTATTTAAAATATAAAATTTAACTAAATTAACTGAATTTAATTTAGTGTTTGTATATATATATGTGTATATATGTATATTATATGCAACAAATAGATGTTATGTAATGTAAGAACGTTGACAATAGGACTAACAAATGAAAACATGAAGAGTTATAGGACTAAATCATAAATATGCCAGCATTTAGAGGATCAAAACAACAATTTGTAAATAGAGATTGTAGCACCCGACTCTTGTGTAATCTCTAATTGCCATAAAAGCCTTGTATCAAAAAAAATTAGCACGGACCTCACTAAGAAAATTGGTCAAATTAAAGCCAATAAGGATCTCCATATATGCGAGTGGGGAGTATGTTTTGACATCAAAAGACTAAAATACCATTTCATCTAATATTTTCAAAAATACAGGTTCACCCCGGAATTTTATAAGCCCCGAAATGAAATTTTCAAAATTTTCAATTCAATTCCTTCTATTTTCCGAAAAGCCCTCTTCTTCCATGGCTCCACATTTTCTAATATGATAGTCCTTTTTATTTTGCTCTTCTATCTATTATTTCATATTCTCCAAGGCAGATTCTAATTTATTTCAGTAGGTTTTGTTCTTTCATTAAATTTTGTTTACATGAAATTTGGTTTATTGCTGAAAAATTATGTTCAAGAAATTGCAAAAACTACCCCCGTATATCTCGAAATGCTAAAAAGTCTTCGTGTTATAAAAACTAGCAAAAAACCCCTACAAAATATTTCAGACTGCACAATGCCCCAATTTGATTTTTGCGGTTGACCAATTAATAAAAGACAGAAATACCCCCAAATACGTTTTCTTTTGCTCCGCCGGAATTCTTCCGACTTGTTAAGAAGTTGCACGGACATACCTGAACTTGTTAAATTGTTGCACTAACGACTAAAAAGTCCATTTATAGCAAAATTTCTCCCGGAATTACACATGTGCAACACACACATGAAAATGAAGGGGCAAATTCGTCGATCTTAATTGATTGAACGAAAAAATAGTTAAGAAAAAATAATGACGATGGTACTTTAGTGATCTTCTATAACTTTTTTTCTTTAATTATTAATTTTCTTAATACGTGCGCAACAAATCAAATCAATATATAATTGGGGACAGAAGGAGTACGAGTTAACTACCTGCAGCGTACATATAAAATTATTGTTCATATAAAATTATTGTTCTAGAAAAAGGTAATTGAAAATTGATATCAATTGTAGGAGCAATAATAAATCAACTGCAATTTTTATTTTTATTTCTCTTAATTGATGATTTGTTTACATTTTATATTTTCCGGTATGATTTTTCCAATCATACACTTTCGTCGGTACTCTTGGATCGGGAGTCCAACCAGCGAAATAGATACCATCACTCCTCGCTTCATAATAGCATACACCATTAGGGCACTCGGTTTTTTTGGATTTAAATGCATCAAAAGCGACTTCTTTATTACCCCACGAAAGATGACAAAAATATAAAGTATTGCGGAGGACGTTCTCACAAAATTTCCAGTGGAAATCAAAATTCGGAGTATTAAAGTGATTTCCGCCAAGGTCGTTGTCTCCGGATGCACAATGCAATTTCAATTTGGGTAACGGCATCTTATTGACCACATGAACCTCATATTGATCGGAAAAAAGACAACTCGATGTAACCGTTGATAGAATGTTAGCTAATAAAACGAGACATGTGATGATATTTTTCATCGCGATACAAGTTGTGATTATTTGTTTCTACAAAGTGAAATTCGAAATTAAGATTCGACATATTTGGATTAGCTATTGTGTAGTCCTACTTATAGTGTAATACTATTTAATTGTAATGGGAAATAAAATGTAAATCGGGCAAATTGAATTCGATGAGATTGTCCTTTTCTTTTCCATAGATATCGAATGATTTTAATTCGTTGATATATTTTTCGATAAATAGAGCAAATTTTCGTTTCTAGTGTATGATTGATTATCCATGTAATATTAAATAAAAAACAAATTAATCTACAAAAGAATACGGCAGTCTGTATCTACAATGTAAAAACTAATAGTCGAAACTAATTTGTAACAAGATTTGAATTTTAAGAAGAAAACAAAAAGTAAAAGAAAAGGACTTAAATGTGAACTAAGGTTCAATTTCATGTACACCCAAATCAAAATAACAACGTCGTAAACACGAGAACTTTTACGACAATTAGACATTTCACATGTATGCTCTAAATTGTTTTCATGAACTAACCGTTTAGGAATACCATAATCGGGCTTAAAGCTGAGATTTAGTTAATCAAAATCATACGTCTATGCTCAATATATATGAGTGACAACTATAATCAATTGTTTCTAACGAGAGAGATTTTTCCTTTTTTATATTTATTATTATTATTTTAGAAATATGAAGAACAATTTAAAAATAGACAAACTTTTCCTGGGACTTTAAATATTTATATTTCAAGACACTACAACTGGTATATTAATCAAGGGCAAAAATTAGAATAATTTTCCATTTTACGAAGAACTAAAAATAATAAAAATTCATATCATCTTTATTTATTAATTTTTTTTATATTTCTTCAAATTAACGCACTCAAATATTAGAATATTAATACACACGGACTACTGTTGCCAATCATACTTCTTCTGCAATATCCTCGGGGCGTTGCCTCCTGCGAAATAAATACCATCTTCCCATATTTCATAATAACACGTACCGTCAAAACATAATGCGTTCTTCTTCGATGTAAACACGTCAAAAGTGACGTGGTTATTTTTCCACGCAAGACTGCAAAAGAAGAGAGTATTGGACCAAAAACTTTCGCAAAATGTCCAACTAAAATCATAGTTTTGGCTTGTAGTGTGATATCCAAGATCGTTATCTTTAGACGCACAATGCAACTTTAGTTGTGGAGATGGAAGCTTATTCACCATGTGAATGGTATACTTTCGTGTGATAAAACAGCCCGTTGTGGTTGGCGACATCGTTAGGAAAATGCATGCTAACAAAGTGAGATAATTGACGAGATTTTTCATTGTGAAAATGTCGAGATTGAAATTTTCGAGATATTTGGTTGAGGTCTCGTTGAATTCGATTTATAGAGCTACATGTGGTAAACACTTTAGATTTATCAATTTGACCGAATGAAATATCGGATTTCATTTGAGACAATTTTGAGCGCAGGATTTCAAATCGTACTTTATGAATTAGAAACATTTTTGTAGACTGGCTTCATCCAAACAAGTTCA